ACAAAAAAAGTCTGCATCAAATACAGGAAATCATAGCTTTCCTGTATTTCCTAGATTGTTGGCATGGTGGTTAGTGCTGTTGCTTCACAGTAAGAAGGTCCTGGGTTCAAATCCACGTTCTGACTAGTTTGCAGTGGTTTCTCTCTGGGTATTCTGGTTTCCCCCCACAGTTAAAAATCATGCATAGCACTGTTTCTGTGTGTTTGTGTGTTCTCCCCGTGCTTGCGTGGGTTCTCTCTGTGTCATGGTCCGTGAGAACAGTATCCGGGGAGTGTTTGGGTGACCATGCCCTCGGGTCAGGCACCTGTATTCCATCCCAGGCAATTGCAGGAGGACTATTTCACCCAGCACGAACAGCTCCTCCATGCCAGTCTGTTAGTCACTCTTGGTGGTAACTTGGCTCTCCTAAGCTCTGAGTTTATTCAAGTATTCTTTGACCCGTGTTAATATTACACACTTGTGCCCCGGTCGCCATCCGGCAGTTGAAGACATTCGCTGCCTGTCGTCCTGCCTGTTCTGTGTGCGAGAGAACTCTCGCTCCTAGGATTTTTCCCACGGACACCCTCCCCCAACTCTGATTCTTCCCACGGTCTCAATCACAGCTTCCCAGGGCATTTCAGTTCCCGATTTCCTCGGCTTGAGTTATATTCTTGTTTCCTTGGTGGTTCCTGATCGTTTATGTTAAAGAAATAAATCTATACATAGTTCCCGCGAATTTCGTATTCGGCCCCATCTTTGCATGTGAACCTTAGTTCTTGACACTCTGGGTACTCTGGTTTACTCCAACAGTCCAAAGACAGGTAGTTAGTGGGGTCAGATTAATTGGTGATTTTAAATTACAGATAAGTGTGAATGTGAGTGCAAATGGTTGATTGTCTCTCTGTGTTAGCCCTGGGATAGACTTGGCGACTTGTCCAGGGTGTACCCTGCCTTTTGCCCTATAACATCTGGGATAGCCTCCAGCCCCCCCACGAACCTAATAAAGATAAGAGGATGGATGGAGTGACAACTGTAAAAGTTTTTATAAATCCATTAATTTTTTAGTTATCCAAACTCTAGACTTTGTTGAACACTCCAAAAAATGATCTTAAAATAATCACGGGAAGGATTCTCACATTAATAAATGGCTTTCTGTCAGCATTAAGTATTTTTGTGGGACTAACGTAATTTGCATGGGTTGGATCAACTTAAATAAATTATGTTGGATTCAACTACAGTAAATAATTTGATTCATCATTAATGTCAAAGGAGCTTGCAAAGAAAAGCATCTGGACTTCTTTAAGTTGCTTGAAGACGTTTCACCTCTCATCCGAGAACCTTCTTCAGTTCTAAGGTCAAATGGTGGAGAGTCCCAGATTTAAACCTAGTGGGAGTGTCTCCCCACAGAGGGACAAAAGGACCCCCTGATGATCCTCTAATCGCCTGAGCCAAGGTGTGAAACTGGGTGTGGGTCCCAATCAGCCAGAGTTTCAGGTGAGCTCTTTGTGAAACCTGGCCCCACCTTATCATGCGAATTCCTGAGGTCAGATGGCCTCAGGATGTGAGTGGGCGTTAAGGCGTCTGGGGAGGGAACTCAAAACTGGATTATAGATGGCAGACAGTTGGCGTCGTAAACCACCGCCTCTGTTCAAAGATGGTCGCTCACAGTGGACATAGATGGCTTCTTTCACTCCTCTTTCAAACCATCTGTCCTCTCTGTCCAAAATGTGAACATTGACATCCTCGAAAGAGTGACCTTTGTCCTTAAGATGCAGGTGGACTGCTGAGTCTTGTCCTGTCAGGACACTTACACTTACGCCTGTAGTGATGAAGTGCTTTGAGAGACTGGTCTGTCAGCACATCAGGGCCGGTCTGCCTCCCACTCTGGACCCCCACCAATTTGCCTACAGGACAAATCGTTCCACCGAGGACGCTATCACCATAGCGCTCCACACTGCGCTGAGTCACCTGGAGCACCGAGGAAGCTATGTGAGAATGCTCTTTCTGGACTTCAGCTCAGCATTCAATCATATCATCCCGGAGATCCTGGTCCAGAAACTGTCTCACCTGGGACTCTCCACCCCCATCTGCCTCTGGATCAAGGACTTCCTGACAAATAGACCACAGTCTGTCAGACTCGGCCCCCACCGGTCCAGCACCATCACACTCAGCACCGGGTCTCCACAAGGATGTGTTTTGAGTCCCCTCCTGTTTACGCTACCTACCCATCTCTCAAACACCATCATAAAGTTCGCGGATGACACCACAGTGGTTGGACTCATCTCAAGGGGGGATGAGTCGGACTACAGAGATGAGGTCAACAGACTGACTGAGTGGTGTTCAGTTAACAACCTCCAACTGAACACCACGAAAACTAAAGAACTTATCTTGGACTTCAGGAAGGGCAGAGCAGACCCGGCCCCACTTTACATTCACGGGAGCTGTGTGGAGAGGGTGCACTCCATGAGGTTTCTGGGCGTGCAGATATCTGATGACCTCTCCTGGACTGCAAATACTACAGCGGTGGTTAAAAAGGCCCAGCAGCGTCTCCACTTTCTGAGAGTGCTCAGGAGGAACAACCTAGAGGAGAGGCTGCTGGTGACATTTTACAGAGCCACCATAGAGAGCATCCTAACGTACGGCATAACAACATGGTATGCAGGGTGCTCAGCTGCAGACAGGAAAGAACTGCAGAGGGTCATCAACACAGCCCAGAAGATCTGCCCCAGCCTGGAGGTCACTGCAAACTCTCGGTACCTCAGCAGAGCTGGCAATATCATCAAGGACCACTCTCACCCCAGCAACCAACTGTTTGAACTATTACCGTCAGGCCGACGGTACAGGTCACATAAAACCAGGACAAACAGATTCAGAGATAGCTTCTTTCCCAGAGCTATCACCGTAGTAAATAAGCACAAAAACAATTGAACCTATTCCATACCGTCACTGTCATTATATTATGCTGCTATTCTGTATATATTGTACATACTATTGTTTGAGTACTTACGATTGTTTTTTTGTACTTTTTATATTTTACATTTATATTTATTATTGAAACTTGCACCAAGGGAGTGGCACTCCAATTTCGTTGTACTCTGTACAATGACAATAAAGGCTATTCTATTCTATTCTATTCTAAATGTAATATTGGATTGGTTAGACTACGTACATGTGAGTTTTGTTTTGTCAAAAATGTCAAAATAACATGGCAATATGGACATTTTTTTCTATTATTATCTGTCTGTTTAATTCTATTAATTTTACTGGCTGCAGACAACTTGACATAAAGGAAATATCTCGAATAAAACAGAATACGATACAGTATTTTTAATGTCTAAAATAGATTTCAATATAGTTTACACAAAAGCACTAAGGACTATAGTATTGTATTTGAATGTCAAACTGTGGAACTGCAGACTTCAACTCCAAAAACTCAAACACATGCCACACTTCCATTAGTTAGTTTTTACTGACAGAGTTTTTAAGGTCACTGCTCTGATTACTGGCTTCAGACTCACCATCCAAATAAACAGCCTGAAATCAGATGCTTGGATTAGAAAACCAAACAGATACAGAGACACGCCAGGTGACAGTTAATAGTCCTGTTTACAGATACTGCTTATGAGAAACTGAGTACCATCTTCTATTAAAGAAGATTAAATGGTTTTTAGTCAACAATGAAGTCATCCCAGAATACGGGAACTGAATAGTTTAAGACAACCAATATGTTTAATCCTCTCTCGGGATTTGTTACAAATCCGAACAGCCTGAAAAACTAGGGTGCGGTCAGGATTGTGTCTGCTCTACAAACACACCATCACCTACTTACCCTTAGTTTAGGGTCACTTTAAAATCTGCAAGTTTTGAAAGAAAAGCACATTTCCTATTTCTTTATTTATGATGTAAAAAAATGACAAGTAAAATAAATACTTTGTGATTCTTAATGGATTATCTATGTAGGTGTACAGAGCCCCATTTTCAGCAGCCACCGTTCCCCGGCACATTATGTTACCTAATGCAAGTTTATCATGTTAAAAGGTGATCTCGGTAAAAGCCATTTCCCAATTATGTTATAAAATCTGTTCTGATGATTAAAGAAGCAATTTCGCTAGCTGAGAGGAGCATTAACCGACCCATTGTGAGTTAAATTATTAGCTCAAAGTAATCGCCAAGAAATAACGTACTTTTGAAACTTGCCACGCTATTTTATTTAAAAAAAAAATCTATATACCTGTTTTCAGGGTGTGTGTCATCATGTCAAAACACTGCTGTCGAGACAGACGGTGAAGTTTGAACTACAGCAATGGAACTTTTGATTATTTTGGCAGGTGTTTACATGTTTGTGAGAAAGATTCAAAGAAAAGACCTGGAGTACCTATCCTCCACTATCTTGCCAGTATTTTTGAGTCTGGTATCCATGCTAAAAGTTGAGATTTCTCTGCCTGTGTTGACTCAGTTTGACTCTTTGTTTACATGAATGAAGTAAAGACCACAGAACAAACCTCATTCTTAAATCACTGGTTAAACTGAACAGAAATTCACTAGCTGGGCCAACGTCACCGTTTTAGTAGGTAAAGGTGAATGCTTGGACATGAACTGAGCTGCGGCTTGGGAAAGGCCTGGAAGGGGACTGACGACGGCTCCCAGGCCTGGCAGATCCCCATAGGAGTGAAGAAGTTAAAAAATTGAGAACAAGGAGGGAGGGTGGGACACGTAAACGAGAATGAACAGCTTGCAGAACTGGGGGAACCTATATACAGATGACATCCATAATGAGCGTGTTTGGTGGCCTGGTCCTGCTCCTGAAATTCCAATATATAATCTCCAATCCATGAGATAGCCAACGCACCTTTGTTGGCCATCTCACACAGCACACGCTAAATTCAGCACATACAAAGCACATACTGTAGCAGTATGTGCTTTGTTTCTACTGCCATCAAATGAGTCAAAGTCGCATTTGTGTGTAATTCATGGCCTGGAGATAATTCTTCAGAAAACTTGGACAAATGTTCTAATCTCACCGGATCAGGTCCAGGAGTGCATCTGCAGAACTCATGATGGGTTTGCTGCTGTCCTCAGAGTCCTCTTTTTGGGCTGCACCTCCTGGGTGGATGATGGAGACCATGATGATCCCCACGATCACAGCCACAAAGGTGGTCCACAGGTAATACGATACTGTGATCAGACCGAGGCGACTGGAACATTTTGCATCGAGAGCTGCCAGTCCCGACATCAAACTGAAAGAAAAAACAAGAAGTTTGGACTGAATGCATTTTAACCTTTCCACCTCTGAGTTACCTGGATTTGTATACTCGTTTCTAACACTGATTAAATATTCCACCAATCAAAATTGTAATGGTATGCAACATAACTTGCTCTTTCTCGCCACAAATAGTATATGTACATAGAACAAAAATGTTCTGTGAGGGTCCTGGATGATCGATGGTTCATTCATGGGTTTGAATTCACCATCTGGCTGTGACTTTCTGTGTGGAGTTAGCATGTCTGTGTGGGTTCTCTCCGGGTACTCTCCAGCTTCCTAACACAGCCCAGTCATTCACTTGGTGGGGTCGCGTTAATTGGGGATTCTAATTTGCCCATAGATGTGACTGTGAGTGTGAATGTGGTCTGTGTCACTGTTTTAGCCCTTTGACAGACAGGGTGTGCCCTGCCCCTATGGTAGCTGGGTTCCATTCCCCCTGTGACCCTGAATTGGATAAGTGCAAGAAATTGGATGGATGGACCGATTGGTAAATTCAAAATAATACTCTGGTGTGGCATAGAGGTTATCAGATTGTGGCGCTGCTCAGGTGTTACTGAAGCCCAGGTTGCTTTGATTGCAACATTCAGTTTGTCTGTACTTTGTTGGGTTGGGTATTTTTTTATTATCTTCTTGGCAATAAACCACAGCTTGGCCAATCAAGCACAGCAATAACATCGTCAGTAAAGAATTTGGTAGTAGTTTTGGTGGCGTGGACAGGTCCTAAGTCCTGTGGAAAAGAAAATCAGCTGCTCCATAAATCTTCTCAGCAAATGGAAGCACAAAGTGCTCGAAAGTCTTCTTTTAAATATCTGAATTCATTTAGGACTTAATAAAATATAACTTTTCATGACAATCCTCTCAAGGCTGCAGTTATCCCTGTTGCTTGTGCACCTTTTCCTACCACACTTTTCTCTCCCACTAAGCTTTCTATTAATATACTTTCATATTGCATGCTGTGAACAGACAGACTTTTCAGATATTTCCTTCTGAACTAGGAGTACACAAGGTATTTATATTCCGAATATGAATTTATTCAAACTCCAAAGATTTAGCAGCAGCACAAATTTTGTGTTTCATAAATGTTACCATTTTAGTTTTTAATTTATATTATTTTGTTACGTTTCTAAGAGTGAATAACAATAAAAAGCACTTCAGAAGTTTGAAAGCTATTATTGGTAAATACATAAAAATTAAGCTTTGGCAGTGGTGCCACTGGTAGTATTAAAAAAAAATTCTAATATTTTTCTGTGACATTTTTTCCACGTTACATGCGAGTACATTTTGATCTAGTAACAACACGCAACACAAAAAAAAAGTATTCGGACAGCAAAGAGCAAAGGACACATAGGAGAAGAGCATCAGGTGGTTGGATGGCTAGTTAAAACACTGGACTCAAATGCAGGAAGCTGTGGTTTGTTTCCCAGTTTCATTTCCCCTTAAAACAATGACGGAAGCTCCAAAAGCTACTGAATAGGACGGTGATCATTTAGACATATCCTACATACTGAATGTTCAAAGTAAATTCCTCAAAGTAAAAATGTTAGTTTCATCTGTGAAAGCAAACAAAAGAGAAATGCAATGAGACAAATCTTTAAAGAACCATCATCAAAACCAAAGATTAAACTACATACAAATTCTCAAAACAAGATTAATGAAGAAACGTTTTGTATTTCTCAGTAAATAAGAAAATAAATGGATGCTTTTAAAATGTATTTTTTCCATGCAAAATCTTATTCAGTGAGCTAGTTTTATGTTGAATAATAAACAGCATTTCCTTACATGGGATGTTTGTTAGTAATTTTACTGGTATATAAACAGATTCATGAGCAAAGCTCCAATAGAGATAAGTTTAGATAAGATGGAGCAGATGAAACAAACTGTAAAGATGTGCAGGCAGCACACTGACATTTTAAAAAAGGAGAATTTTTATGGACATGAGTCTAAAGAGGGCTTTTCTGTGGAGAGAAACAAAGTTTTCACTCTCAGTGGATAAAATAATGTACTTTTTTTCAAAACCACAGGCTTATCTCTGTGTTATGATAGTAAGATGGGCCCACTTCCAACACATAATTTTTCAACATGAAGGTTACTGGTGTGAAAGAGTGTGCTTTAACCCAAACCACAATGACTTTCTAAACCGACCAGACAGCTTTTAGCGTCCACATTCAAAAAGTGACAAGCTGGTGAAAACAAATCTAAAAAGGACATGACAAAAAAAGCAGTGAGGTTTATAAACCTGTGCTACTACCACCCCTCCAGACTTCTGACCTTGATCTTTGGTTTATATTTTAATAGTGGCTAATATTACGGAGCTAAGATAAAGAGAAGCAATAAGCAGGCACTGTGTGAGAACACATTGTGAGAGCTTTGGTGTTTATCCGGTCGTTAAGTGATGATGTGACGAATCCTACTTCCGGGTCTAAAGTAGTAGCGTTTAATATGGCTTTTGTGTTGTTAACATGTTTAATGTTATGTATTTTCTTCTATTTGATCTCAAAAAGCTCCTAAAACAGTCAGTGATCACTGTTGACCTCCCTCGGCTTTTATTACCACTAATCATTTATTTAAGCTCAGTTTTTAAAACCTTAGGATGTAACTACAGCCCAGCCCATGCAGCAGTATATGAATGACTAACCTCGTATTGTGGATGGATTATCTCAGTTGTTCTCCTGGCTGAAGTTTGGTCCTTTTACAGCATCCTGCCATGTGATTACATTTGTTCCTGACCACCGAGAACACTCACGTTAAGTTTTATCGAGTGGAAAAAAAGTTAGCTTGTTTATATTATGCTAACATAGCTGTGTCGCTAGCGGTCACGTAGTACATCATTATATACCAGCTAGCCCAACTTCAGTAACCCTACAAACGTCACTGCTGTTTAGTTTTCTGTCTTCATTTATGTTGGAAGTGATAACAGAGCTGTACGTTTTAATTTGTTTCAAAAACCCCGCAGTCAGGACATGCTATATTGTATTTAGATAAAAGCTAGTGAGCTAACTTCCTGCTAACTTCTAACTCTGTTAAATGTCATAAATTCTGTTTTCATGGATGCCTGGATGGTAAACTCAATTGTTACACCTGGTAGAGCAGAACGCTGATCATTTTATTAAAGATGAAAGACTTTAGACAGTTTTTCAACTCTCAGTAATGCCATAGTGATCGTTTGATATATGGACCTGCAGCGGAGTTTAGGCCCAGACACGGCTAAGGAGACTTAACGACCGGATACTCGATGAGCTAACAAAGAAACAGAGATGAACTGTTCAATCGATGGATCAAGCGCAAATGGAGCTAGGAATCAAAGGCAAACAATACTGTCAGTTTATTGTACTTGCAGTACAGGTAAGCAGCTGATCACATTATTTTTCTATTTTTTCTATTCACATGGACTTAAAATTAAGTACATATATCATTTTATTTTTATTTTATTTTAGATTCACATATTTTGTCAAACTTGATTCCAATGTCAATTATCCCAAACCAGCAGAATGTAAATGTATGTATGTCTTAATAACCGACTGAATACATTACTGGAAACTTTAGATATGCTAAGTTAAGTAGTGATTTGGGTCATTGTGTTAGAGCTGTACTGACGTGCAGGTACCTGGACACGACGAGTGGGAGAATCAGCATCTTCAGCATCCTCATTAGTAGCTCACCAGGAAACTGAAAGTACTTCACCTCCTGTCAGGGTAAGAGAAGAGAAATAATGGTCACGGGTAATTTTAGGAAGTCTATCACACAGATTTTTGAAAAGGACCTTATGTTACTTAAAAAGAAATAATGAACAGGAGCAGGGCATGACAGTGACACATAATGAATTACCTTTTGAAGAGTTTAGATGTCTGTTATAAAAAAAAATTCAGTTTCATGGACAGAAATGAGACTCTGACTATTTTCCTATTTTTCTTCTTTGCTAATAAATGGGTACATGTTTAATCTGCATTGTAAACACCTTCATCTCACCCTATCTCTTGCACTCTGTCACACCAACTCTCTGAATGTCATCCTTCACTACATGCTCTTTTACTGCTGCCTGGCAGCTCCATCTTCAGCCTTCTTCCTCTGCGTGTTCTCCAAACTGTCCTAGCCTTGTGTCTCCAATGTTGTCTCCAAGCACCTCAGCCTCAGCATTCCCTCCTTATGTTCTCCTTTCTAATCCTGTCCCTCCTGGTCACTCCCAGCATTCTTAACATCCACCATCATACAGGAAGAAAATGCACATCCAGCACAAGCCATTATAAAAAATGTGATGCTGAATTACACTTAAATATTGTAGATTTCCTAGTACAGAAAATCTTTTGATTCATCACTGTCCTTCCCACACCTCTGCCAGGTTGAGAAACAAAATATCACAAGACTTGCAGAAATAGAAAACAACATTTTTTTGTCCTTATGCTAAGTTTAACAAGCAAAATGGTATTTGAAATTTTGATTTTCACAACAGTAACAATGTGTGGAATTTGAGAAAAAGAGATCATTTCATCTAAAGGATAGATGTAACACCCTTAGATGAGGGCTGGTTGCAGCAGAATAACGGTGGCTCACAGTATCACGTAGCAACCTGTATTTAAAAGTGGTTTGTTTCTGTAAAATTGTAGCAATACATACTAAGTAACAAAACAGTATGTGCCTCAGAGCCCAAGCTTGGGCATCATTTAGAGACTCAAATCTCAAAAGATGGGAAACAAATCCAGCACTCACGGATCAAATGTTCTATTTTTGAATCCTCTCAAGGAGCAGGTGTATGCTGGTTGAAATTCACTCTACTTGGTGAAGCACGCTGACAATAAACACAAAGAATGAGAGAAAGAACATGGGAGCTTGTATGATGGAAAGATGGAGGTGAATTGGTGAAAGAGAAGCTGGAGAAAGTGTTAAGAGCCACCACATCATCTACAAGCTTATGTCAGTATAGAGAAAAGGGTTCTTCAGGTATTGTCTTTAGGTTCAGTAATTGGCTAAAAGAGGAGAGCGTAACAAATGCGATCATTTCATAGCAGTTGTAACTGAAAACCAAGATTTGAATATGTGAATATTTTCTCCCTTCTTTAGACTTTAACCCAGGTTTAGCAGCAGACCATATGAAGTCGACAGGTGGTCACTTGGCTCAAGTCATGCTATGCACAATTATAACCATACATGCACAGTACACCCATAAAATAATGTAGCCACAATTTTAAACAGTCTAAAAATACCTGTCTTAGATTGCAGAGGCAACCCATATGGAAAAGATATATATAAATCTTATAAAGTTTGTATCTGTCTTGTGTGAAACTTGTATGAAAAGCATACAAGCGTGAAAACAGATATAAGATCCCTTGAAAAATTATATAATGAAACTTGTATGTTTTGGATACTTACTAAAACAATATATGAAAGTAATGAGAAAGTGGCCACTTTCATGAGTCACATATAAGTTTTTACTATTTCTTTTCCATATGGGAAAGCAGGACACAAAAAGAAACATTTTTTCTGAAAGTGGATCAATGAACTCACCAGCTAATTGTGAACACAGAATCTCCTCAGCACATTTCTACTTGTTTCGCAGTTTTTCAGTACCTCCATGCTTTAAAAGTAGTTGCACAAACTGACGACTGAGGTATTTTTGGTTTCAAAGAGACATTAGAAGCAGTCTGACTGTTATTGGCCTATCCACTCTGTCTTCTTCTTTTACCAGGACTGCTACAGAAGCACTAAAGTGTTAACTGAAAAACTTGCACAGCTATGACTTTTTACTAATATGGCTATTTAAGGTTTTCATTAACAAACTATATGAATTAATGCAACTTTTATTATTAATAGAATTCAGCTAAGGGGGCACAGATACTTTACTGGGTGGGCCTAACAACAACACTAATCATAACCTAATCATATTAAAGTATCCATAAAGAAATTCTGTACATTAATATTAACAGCTGTAGCAGAAAGCTAGCTCTCTTATTCATAAAACTGGCTCTGTGCCACAACTAGGCAAACTATAACCCTGGTAGCTCTGATGCTAGCGTTTAAAACCCAGCTAGCTGGAGCTACCATCACTGACATATCAAACATTTTGGACATTTACTGCAGTGCTGCTTCTTTTTTGTTTCAATTCAGTGGGCTACATACTGAACTTTAGAATTACAAACAAAGTATCAATCCTTATTGAAAATCGCTAACAATTTCTCCGTCATTGAGGAGGGAGTGCCACACAGTTAGTCATTTCTTTTTAATTCAGATTCATTCCTGACTGAATAAGTGGGAAAAAAATTAACAGGGTGAATTAACAAATTGTTAAAAGTGTTTAAAAAGCAAAAAAAGGCAATTGTGTTGCCAAGGCCGATTGACTTTGATGTTGACTTTAGCCTTGAGATGAAATTATGTCCCTGGCTGTCACAAAAGCAGTGATTTTGTAATTCCAGTTGGCACAAGGTAGGTGATGAGTATTTTATCAAGGTTGTAAATCTCACAAAGCCTCAGATCTTCTATTGCTTTCATTTGTATATACAGATTTTCCCCCCTAACTGGCAGTTTATTATAACATACTGGAACAACTGTAAGTTCATGACCTGCGATAAATTGAAAGCCTGTCGTGGGAGTACCAGGCTATCAATTTATCGCATGGATGGAAAATGTGATGTTAAAGTGGTCCAGAAAAAGAAAAATCTCACTGTTACCTTTCACTGGTGTTGCATTTCTTTGATGTTTACATGAGAAGTTGTTAAGCATTAAACAGAGATTTGTTAAATCAGATGGAAAAAAACAGCTGCAGCAGAGCGGGCTTACACATATGGACAGTGTATTAACATGGATGACATACCAGCTTTTGACCTACAACAGCTTACATTTCCCTGCTTTTCACTGCATATGTTCAGATTTCATTTTATTCAGAAATTACCCCAGTTGGTCAATAGAAAACGGTCAATAGAAAACATGTAGTCGCTTTCTTGTTTGACCTTTGTTGTCCTCTATTTTTTGAATTTGGATTTCCTTGTTGATTGTAGCCTCCTTTGTGTTTCTCCATGTTCAGTCATGTATTAGTTTTGCTTCTGTGTTTTGTTGCTTCCAGATTTATTTTGTAAGTCTTCTGTCTCTTGTGCTTTCCCTTTATTTTCACTTAAGCAGGCCTTTCATTTCAGCTCTGCATTGTTGCCCCATGTCTCAACTCTACCAAATTTACTTTCTGCATGTTCTCTAGATGAATACAGGACTACCTATATAAATTTAGCTTGGTTTTTGGTGGTTTTTTTTGTTTTTTTTTAAACCTGTACTGTAATGGACCCATCACAGGAGATTTCTCTGACATGTTTCTTAATGATTACAATGAATGCACTTACAAAAACAATACACTGGAAAGCAATAAGATCATGTTTGTTTTGTATTTTTATAAGATTTAATATCATTCATTCATTCAATTCAGAAAATGCCCAACTCATCATAGTGCTGCACAGTGATGGCAACAAGAAAGATCAAAAGAAACATTTAACCTATTATTAAACTTAATTGGCTCAAAATGTAAAAGAACCCACCCACCACTTCAATCCACCACTGGATCTTGTTCTGACATGTGACATAGGAACTGAACATTTATGCAGTGTTCCCTGAAAACCCTCTTTTGTCTGATTACTTCTTAATAACACTTAAATTTACAATAATGGATTACTCAATAGGGGGTAATACATTTCATTACTGTAGACGTCTTTCTGAAAGCGCAGTAATTACATTTAAGCATATTTTTCCTCCACTTATTGTGTCAACACAGTGCAGAGCTGCTACTCCCACAGAGGTCGATTATCTTGTTAATGGTGTCACATCGACATTGTGCATGACTCTGGATACTGTGGCGCTTCTGAAAAAGAAAGCCTCAAATCACAAGTACTTGACTTCCTGGTATAACTCTCTAATGTGCACCTTATAGCAGATAACCCAAAAGTTAGAGAGGAAATGGTATCTCATTAATTTAGAAGATCTTCATTTAACCTGGAAAAATAGTTTATTGCTCTATATAAAAGCCCTCCTAAAATGACATCTTACTTTTCATTAGTGAAGAAAATAAGAGCAACCCCAGTTTTCTTTTCAACACTGTAGCCAGAATCAGTCTGCTGAGCCAAACTTTCCTTGAACCTTAACTAGTAATGAGCTCACAAGTTTCTTCACAAATAAAAATATAACCAATAGAGAAAAAATTATTCATAACCATCTCATGCATCATTACATGCAGATACTTTCAATAACAGTACGACTGATGAGTCGTACTGTTTTATCTCAAAGATAGAAAGAGTAGTTTTAAACTTAAGTGTCTAATCAAAGACACTTATATTTCAAAAAAAGCATTTTTTAAAAATCTTTCACAAATCACAAAATCAACACCTACTGTGAAAGTGGAGTTCAACTGACTATTACTCAGTTTTATGGAAAGAAATCCCTTCTGATTGACTTTAAGAAACTCCCAAAGCAACATCACTGGTGTGTAAAGTAGACCTTGTTGTTCATTCCTCTCACAGACTCTATTACTCAATAGAGACTGGCGTAGGTGGAAGGAATATTTCAACAGGAAAAGAGGTGAGAGTCATGGCTAAGCACAGAGAGGTAAATCTAATATGCAAGTTTTGGGGAGTTTGTCGGCAGATCCTGTGGGGTTTTGTGTGTTTGTGAGTCCACCAGGCTTAACACTGGCCTCTGTCCAGTGCAACAGCGGACAG